ACAGGATTTCATCTGATGTTGGTAAGGCGCTGCCCGTTGTAGCAAACCGTCAACGATGATGGCCATGGAGGAGACTCTCGTAGGAAAGTTCCGGCGCACGTCTCTCATGCCACATAAAGTACCCCGCTGTCTCTCCTTTATCGATCCTCACCCCCTGACCAAGAACGAGAATATGGCAAAGACGATTTTGGTTCCAAAGTATCCGTCCGTATGGAGGGGTGGAAAGTTCAGAGGGACCAAAAGAAAAAAAAGAGAGAGAGAGAGAGAGAAAGAGAGAGAGAGTGTTCAAAAACCCTTCAGGATAGCGGGGCACTAGGAACAGCTAAGATGGAGCGCGCCTCCACGCCTGGGCACGGAGGCAGTCAGAGCCCACCTCGCGCCGCGGCACGGGTTCCGGCCAGCCGGTTCCCCGTTGGCAGTGCGGCGTCAGGCGTGCCTGTTTGCGCTCCGCGTTTGTGCCAGGATGCGTTGCTGGAACGGTCGCGGTGGAGGAGGGAGGTGTGGTGTGGTGGGCCTGTCTAATTAAGAGCATGCTCAAGGGTTGCCTTCAGAACTTCCGGGCGGGACTGCCCTTGGTTGTGTAAGTGGTGTAGGTACCACTAAAGGCCCCGAGGTGGCTTCTTCCCGGCATCCGCTGTTCCCGGGTAACCTCTTTGGGCTTCTTCTTTTTTAGTGTATTCGTAGTGTGGTTTCTGAAAGACTGTGACTCCGTGAGGCGATTGAGAAAAAGTAAGGCGAGCAAACACAGCGGTCTCGGTGCTGGTCCCTGGATACTTTACCGTAAGTGTGGCGGGCCAGGAGAAAAGAGAACATGTTGTTGCGTGGAGGGGAATGCTGGCTAGGCAGGCTGGCCAGCCAGCACTTTCATACCAGTAGGTACCTACTCGTCGCGACTTTGTACTTTGTATCGATCTAACCATGTGGTCCGAATCGCAAGAAATGTCACCAATGCACCATTGACAGAGAACGAACATCTCGCATATCAACAAGACTTGTGGTGGCGGGAGGCTGAAGGCGACGGGCAGCTAAACCCCTGACGATCATTGAGGTGCCTGACTGGATTTTCCTGCTAGGGCGTTGCCGTCGGGTGCGTTGATCGCGGCACGCACTTCTGCATAAGGTAGTCACAGTCATACATACGTACTCACGTAGAGTCGTAGGCTGATGTGAGGTGGGATCAGCGTGTCAGTGTCACCGGCCGGCCGCCCCAAGGTCCCGGAACATCAACGAATCACGACCTGAAACCGCACCTCTCTGATTCGCAGTACTTTTGCGGAAGGAAGAAAAGAAGAGAAAAAAAAAAAAAAGGCACTACGGATAGAAAATGGTAGGTTGCCTCTTTTGCTATTAGTGGCGCGCTGTGTCTGTATTGGACACCCCCGTTACCTACCGTATGTTTCGTTCCGAGCCCATTGTCGCAATGGAATCTCATGAGAACATCTGACATCGTCCCGATCTGCAACACAGGAGGGGTTCTCTGAGAAAAGGATTGCGACCCCTTTTTTTTTCTTCTTTTCTTTACAATAAAGCGTCAGTGCCCCTCACGGAACGCCCCGCACCGTCACCCATCCACGCGTTCGTGGATCAAGGGCTCGTTTGTTCGACTTCATAGGTAGCGATGCCCTCGGGAGCGATTCTGTAACCTTTCTCAGACAAGACACACCACGAGGGTGTGAGATGGCGCCCTCCCAACTATCGACGGTTTCGACAGTGGAATGAAAACCCACCCGCCTGCCTCTACCTGGGTATAAGGTACAGTACAGCTGCGATCCTCCTTCGCTACCTTACCTTATGACAACGGAGCCTCAATATCTGACAGAAGCATAGTGGTCTTGCCCAACCGACTGAACGCATGGCGTCGATGATACCGAACCTCTCGCCTTTGTAATGAGAGAAGATGGCCAGGCGTGGAAGTGTCCCAGGCTTGGGCGAATGCCTATCATCGGCGCATGGTGCATCGGGGTCAAATTGACAGGCAAACCGGCTGCTTTTCGCGGACACAGCGCGGCGCATCAAGAAGGCCAGAGGAGATCACGCTCACGGCGCCGTCGTCATGAGCGATTGTGTTCCGGCGGCGAAGCTTGGGTCAAATGCGATGTCTTTGCCCCTCCTCTCAATACTCGGTGGCATTGGCCGGGCCGTCGTGACCGGACAAGGCATGGGCGAGAGAACGAATGATGGTAGGCCGTTTTATACTTTGCCGGAGTGCAGCGGCATCGTCATACACCCGGTCGGAAACGGATAGTCAACGAGCCGTCGGCAGGCGTGGAGGGATACATCATGGCAGTAGTGAACGCAGGGCCGCCTTCTTCGCCTTCAGACGAAGAATGAGTGCGGGCAAAGTTGGAGTTGCAGCCAGGAAGTCGGGTCGGGATGGGATGGGATACGTCGAGACGATGTGCCTGGACCTGACCTGTTCCTGGCGCATACTTGCGCTCGACTCCCGGGGCAGCAGGGCGACCAGCAAGGACGAAGACTTGCGGATGCCTTCTACTATGCTTGGGCGAGTATCACGGCGTAGACCACGTTCACATTTTGTTACCTTGTGGCAGGAAGTGACGGCGTTGGCATCATCTAGCGCTCCACGCTTCTTTGAACGTAGCAGAGTGCGGGATCGGGCAAGGACCCGGATGAGGAGGATCCATGGTGATCTGTCGTCCTGGAAACATCGAGCGTCAACCGAGCACAGTGCGGCGGGAAAGGGTCGTGGTGAAGATCCGTGGATGGTTCAAATGGAAGATGAGGTGAAATTTGAACAGTCGGCGGGGTCCACCTGCCTTTGGATGGGTTAAGGTAAGGTACTCCGTACCCTACCTTCCCCGGTAGTCCTGCACTTCCTTCCTTCTTGGTCGGTCAAGCTCGTGCCCGGGCTCCACATCGGTGTATGGTGGCCCCTGCACTTCTTCGCTCCTGCCAACCGCACAGTGTCCTTGATTCCTTCCTGAAGCCCAGCTCCCGGCTGCCGTTCCGTCCGGCGTTCTCTCTCCTTTCTCAAATAAGGAAGGCAGGTAATAAGTTACTTCAAGCTGCAAGGTAAAGTGAGGTGGTTTGGGCTGCCTCGTGGTAGATGGATAAGGTATCATTGTTTGCGTTCTGAGTGTCTGCGTTCCGTCCCGTCTGTCTTGTGGAATAGGTGTCTCGTTGTTCCGACTGACGGGGGATTCTCAGGTTCGAGGGCAAGCTGCAAACTTGCAGACGGAGAAAGGTATGATAGCTATACTTTGTACGGAGTAATTACAGGGGACTCAATGTGTCCGTACTTTGGCTCGAGGCTCGAGCAATTGATTGTTATTGTCAGGGATGCAGCTTGCGACGCATCGAAATCAACACACCCAAACCAGGCCAGACTCGGCCTCGCTGTTCAAGACGTGATTTTGGATAGATAAACAGACATTCAATACCTTAGCCGGAGGGAGCCGCCAGCAGCCCGTTCACGGTTCGAATTCAGGCTGGAGGTTGACCAAAGTGCCTTCCTTGCCTACCTTATCACCGTCGAACGCTACGAATACTTCGTACTTGCCAATACAGACAAATCCCCTGCTGTGCCTCTACCCATACCTAGGTAAGTACTGTCCCGGTCCTTCACTTCCTCACGTTGTGTTTCCTGCCAGGGGGTAGGGAGGGACTGCTGTGGAGGTAGCCAATGGAGGAGGGAGAAGAGCGCTCAAAGACCCACTCCAGCGAGACGGGAGGAACCCAGCCAGCTTACCTAATTTGCAACTTTAGCGTACCTACCTACACAGTACCTACTGTACATAGTACCTAGTAATAAGGGACCACCAGTTGCACCGGGCCTGAGGGGGAGGTCCCCATTCCGTCCCCCGTGCCTCGTGCGGCGTGTCCCTCCTCCCCTTATTGCAATCCTTCAGTCCCGTCCCGGCCATAGATTACCCTCAGACTGTTAAGCTTCCGCCATCGAGGTACCGCCGGCATCCTTCGCCCATCCTCTAGAGCGACCTCTTCACGCCTTTGTTGTCGCCAATTTGTCAAGCATCTAGATGTATACTCCCTACATCCACCTATCGCGCCCAAGTAGCTACCCTAAGGTACCGTGGACCCCCCGTGCCACCATTGTTGCCAGTCGAATCCCCTCGACTCTGCAGCCCGCCCACACAGCCCATAACCATTGACCACCACCACGAAAACGACCACGAGGACGAAGGCGATAGGCACTTGTTCACCATACCTTGTTCGGAGTTATCTTGATATACATTGGATACCCCTCCAACGGTCACCGTGACGGTTGCAAAAGATTCGACACTGGTCGCTCGCCAGCTAGAGGTCGACCCTGAAAAGGGACAAAGTGAGAGGAGAGGCATTTACATACAGAGACTGTCTGATACACCCGCCGAGAGATCGCCTAGGCGACATTGGTCCTTCGGGGGCCTTCCCTCATCAGGCGATCCTCCTCTCCATGCCCCCTCTCCCCTCCCGAATCCCCCCTCCCGTCCCGACTGTCCAGCAGCATCAGCGCACACGACGACGCGAGAAAAATATCCGGCGAATCGTCGTTCGCATCCCACACATCTCTCTACCCGCCCACTGCCTTCTCTCATCTCGTCCCACCAGTGAGCTCTGCGAGTCGCGACCGCTCTCTCGATTTTCCAATTCTTCAACGCGACAACCGACCCAGTAGCCAACTGTTCACTGTCAGTCAGCGCCAGCGCCTGCGCCTGCGCCAAAAAACCACCGACCTCGTCGACACACGGCTGCGCCTGTTGCCAGACGAGACGAACGTCGCCCCCGCAACTTTACCCCCCAGCTCCAAACCTGCGACTCCTGGATTGTGGGTTTCTGCAACTCAACAACTCGTCGCTTCTCTCCCATCTGACTACGCCTTCTCTTGCTTTCTTCTTCACGACCTCTTACGATTGACGATTCAACCCATCTCCTCGCCGACCCCCGCCGCCGAAAAGGTCCAAGCAACAACAGAGTAGACGTGCCCGGATCATGACTTGACCCTTTTCCCCTCCTTGGGTTATCAGCGCGACCGCCTCATCATGCTGATGACACAGACCGCAGTGCCGGCACTATTCCAGGGTCAGAACAACAACTACAATTCCCGCAAAAAGCCTTCGCGCGAAAACCTCAATCACGACGCTACCAACTACTACCCTTCCCAACCGGCGTTGGACCCTTCCAGCGTCGGCCAAGCCTTCTCACCCTATTCACAGGCCATTACTTCCTCCTCCATAATGAACGGTATTGCGGGCACTGCCCCGCCCGGTACCATGTACGTCCGCGCCTTGTACGATTACGAGGCCGACGACCGCACGAGTCTCAGTTTCCATGAAGGAGACGTTATTCAGGTTATAACACAGCTGGAAAGCGGATGGTGGGACGGCGTTATCAACGGTGTACGCGGTTGGTTCCCGAGTAACTACTGTCAAATCGTTACGAGTCCCGACGAAATCCCCGAGCATGACCAGAATGGCGATCTTGATCATGTTGACGATGAGGAGGACAGTCAGGAGGTCTACGACGAGCAGCTGGAAGAAGATGACGAGTCGGAACTGGACGACGCCAGCGGCCTTCCTCTCGAGGGTACGGATCTCGGCGACAAATCACGGGCCGACTTTTGGATCCCGCAAGCAACCCCAGATGGGCGCCTATTCTACTACAATATGATGACGGGCGATCGGAGCATGGAATTGCCTTTGGAGTCTCCAGTATCTACCAATGAGACGGGACCCCGTAACCGGATAAACGTCAGCGTCCCTGAGAAGACACGGCCACCACCAGAGATGATGGCTAGGGGCCTGACACAGGATGAGGACGAAGACTCCGAAGCAAACTCCGCATCCGAGTTGGAGGGAGAGTCTTTGATGCTCGCATCTCGTGGATCTTTGGTAAGAGCTCGTGCCGCAAAGCTCGCACCGCCGTGAGTTGCTTTTGCTGACCAGTGTATGTGCATGATAGCCTCGTAATCGTCGGTCTCGTAGCGAAATGCTCTCGCCCTCGACTTCGATGGACTCCATAAACGGTACCGCACCTGTCACCCGGCAGAAGGACGGCGCGTACCTGAACCCGAACTTGGCACCCAGCGCAACCCCAATGATTGCATCAGCAACCTCGTTCACCAGCACTTCTTACAACACGCCGCCAACCAGCACCGTGCCTCGTTCCTTTTTCGACGATGGCTCAGCGCCGCCGCTGACCTGGACTCGCCTGGTTTCCAACATGCGCCGAGCCGTTGACCGTTACCGCGATGCCATTACGAGTGGCAACCGTTCCGAATATGTTGCGCGCGCAGAAGATATCTCAGACCACCTGAGACTACTGCTAGCTGCCGGATCTGGCACGACCGATAATCACTCTGGCCAGCCTTCCATTATTTCCACGAACAAGGCTCTTTATCCTCACTTCAGAGATATGATGTCGAAATTCTCGAAGCTCGTAATCTCATCTCACATTGCTGCTGCTGACTGGCCCAACGCCGAATCTGTACAGAAGTGTCTCCAAGAAGCCGATGGAGTGCTACTCGGCGTTTTCAGTTATGTCGAGATTGCCCGTCAGCAACGAGGAGAGGAGATCCCGCGCCTTTTCCCCGGATTTGTCATCGGAAGTTCTACTGGCGGCAGCTGGCAGAACAACGGACTGGGCACCCGCGATCCCATCACAGCGAATTTCCTGGAAGACGAAGAGGGTGTGGTCGAGCCCACGGCAATCCTAGATGGCAAGCAGCTCGAGAGGCTGGACGAGCTCAAGCGGATGCTTGTCTTCAGCATAAGAGAACTGGACAAGAATTTGGTTGTGGCGGACAAGATCACTTCACCTTTCAAGCACGAAGTCATCGGAAACAACGTTTGTTTGGCGGGAGGCAAGGTCTTGGAGACGTTTAAGCCCTGGATTGCACTCATCGAGTCTATCGACCTTTCGTCTCTGGGCAACAGTTTCCAGACGCCCCAGTTGGCAGACTTCGCCGCCAACAAGCAGAGCCTATACGACAACATGTCAGACCTGCTGCTAGGTTGCCAGGCCGTGGCCGGGCCCCTGGCCGACGAATGGGCCGAGGTTCGAGGCGAGGCTCTCGAGAACCGACTGGACTATGTCCGACAATGTGCCAAGGCCCTCGAGACGAATTCCTCGCACATCGGCTTTTCTCTGCAGCTGTTGTCTGAACAGGTGCAAATTAACATGCAGCAACAAGTCGACTCGAGACAGAGGGAAGACGTGATGCAGCGTGAACAACTCCGCCGAGGAGAGACCACTCCGTACGACAGGCCCCATCAGCGCACGGAATCGCGAACGACTCCCGCAGCATCGCGACCTCCAATGATCACCTCACAATCCTTCACCGAGGGCGAGAGCACTGGCAACTTCCGAGGAGGCGACTACTCAAAGGTTAAGAAAATTTTGGGTGACGACCCCAACCCTCAGAGCAACATGCCTCCTGTCGATGACACGCCGGAGTTCCTCAAGCTGGACCATGAGCCAGATCTTGCCTGGGACAATAAGCTGACACCGCCCATCGTTAAGGGTGGTACTTTGGAGGCACTCGTGGAGCAACTGACACGACATGACAAGCTCGACTCGAGCTTCAACAACACGTTCCTGCTTACATACAGGTCCTTCACGACCGCTCAAGATCTTTTCAAACTGATCGTGAATCGCTTCGGCATTCAACCACCAGAGGGTCTCTCTCAATCGGACTTCGAGGCCTGGCGAGACAGGAAACAGAAACTCATTCGCTTCCGAGTCGTCAACATTCTGAAGAGTTGGTTCGATAACTTCTGGATGGAAGAGCACAACGAGGAATCAAAGCAGCTCATCCGAGATGTTTACACCTTTGCTAGAGATACCGTCAAGTCTACAGAGACACCAGGCTCTGCGCCACTAATGGCAGTCCTGGATCAACGGCTCAGTGGTCAACAAGCTGGAGCTCGTCGGATGGTACAGACGCTCAACCAAAACACGCCATCACCTATTATGCCTAAGAATATGAAAAAGCTCAAGTTCCTGGATATCGATGTCACAGAGTTTGCTCGCCAGCTCATCAGTGGTCAACAAGCTGGAGCTCGTCGGATGGTACAGACGCTCAACCAAAACACGCCATCACCTATTATGCCTAAGAATATGAAAAAGCTCAAGTTCCTGGATATCGATGTCACAGAGTTTGCTCGCCAGCTCACCATAATTGAGTCAAGGCTTTATGGGAAGATTAAGCCCACAGAGTGTTTGAACAAGACATGGCAAAAGAAGGTGGGCGAGGGAGAGCCGGAGCCGGCACCCAACGTCAAGGCTCTCATTCTGCACTCCAACCAAATGACCAATTGGGTGGCGGAGATGATCTTGGCGCAGATGGATGTGAAGAAGCGTGTGATTGTGATCAAGCACTTTGTTTCTGTCGCAGATGTGAGTGGTAGAATTCTACTACCATGAAATGACTCTGAAGCTAACAGTCCACAGAAATGCCGTAGCCTCAACAACTTTTCCACACTAACCTCAATCATCTCAGCTCTCGGAACAGCGCCTATTGCTCGCTTGAAGAGAACTTGGGATCAAGTACCACAAAGAACTCAGGGTGTCTTGGAAACCATGAGAAAGCTCATGGCCAGCACAAAGAACTTTGGCGAGTACAGAGAGGCTTTGCACGTGGCCAACCCGCCTTGCATTCCCTTCTTCGGTGCGTAATACCTCTAAAAGAATCCTCAAAGTCGGTGCTAACATTCGTGCCCTTGCAGGTGTATACCTTACCGACTTGACATTCATTGAGGACGGAATCCCGTCCATTATTAAGAAGACGAATCTCATCAACTTTGCCAAGCGGGCAAAGACGGCGGAAGTGATCCGTGACATCCAACAGTACCAAGCTGTTGGCTACTCACTGCAGCCTGTCCCAGAGCTGCAAGATTACATAATAAGTAATATGCAAGCTGCCGGAGACGTGCATGAGATGTACGACAAGAGCTTGCAAGTAGAACCACGCGAGCGCGAAGATGAAAAGATCGTAAGGTATGTAGTACTGAGATTCCAACCAGCTTCTCCAATCGGAGACGTTGATTCACCTTTACTAACTCTGAAACAGAGTTCTTGCTGAATCTGGCTTCCTATGATCGGCGATTATTGGAACGGAGAGAGCATCCTATCGTGCCTCATTCATGCTGGCAATTCTAGCATGAGCAGAGGCCTTCGACAGGTTTGGACGTTACACGCGTCAAGGCAATACTCGAGGCGCACCAGGTGTTCATGAACACCATGGGCCCGAGCACTTCGAGCCGGTCCGCCATGGTGACAAAATATCGGAGCTTGGGTTAGGTGCCAACTACGGATGAGGTGGCCCTGATCTCAGACTCAGAGCTTTCTTACCATGTGAGCGCAGAGGACTAAGGTCACCATAGTGGCCCTGTAGCCGCTGGATGATACATTCGACGGCATAGTGCCGAATGGAGATCTGTGTTCCATGCAGAAGAGGAGGGATGAGGTCGGCTGCTCCTTATCCAGAAAGGATCAACTGATATATTGAGATTGAAAAATATAACGACGTGGGCCCAAAAAGTCCACTGCTCCTGTATTTTGGTCGACGGGTTTCCGTCAATACCATAGCAAGGACGCTGTTGGAAAAGCACAACTTGGCTCGAACATGGTCAATATGTATGCGAGCCGGCAGGAAAAATGAACGACATGAAGGAAACCGACGTTTGGGACTGGAAGCCAATCGAAAAGAAAAACCGGGAAAACGAAAAACGAAAAAAAGCTCAAACGGCGTCTGGTGAAGCGTGAACGTGCTAGTCATCTTTGTATACGGTTTTCTGGGACGAGATTCGTCGAGCTGGAAAATACTTCACTGGCATCATGAGATGTAAGCAGATGTTGGAATTGGGCGTAGAACTCGAGCCAGGCGGCCGGTTTGCCCATCAAACCCCTTGTCGGGTCGTGACTTTTTTTTTATAATATCAATCAGAAAAGACCCTGAGAATCATTTATCATCTTCAATATGTCGGCGTGCCTTAAATATACGTGCCCTTGATCTGTCCATCAATGCAATGCGCCTCGTTAGAGCAAGCATTCTTCGATGATGTCAATATTGGCTTTCACGAATGCCATGTAGCACACTTTCAGTATCTGGTGTATATGTAGGAAGCTGAAGGAACAAGAATGTGGGAGGTCAGGAGACAGGTATAGTGAGAGTCGTGAGAAGCATGCAAGTGCTTGTTTGGCCCGTATACGTGCAACAGGTTCTTCTAGGAGTTGCCCGTCCATCTCCAGACCACCGGTTGGGATAGCAGGGCTTTAGTATCAAGATTAAGCAGAATCTTTTCACACATTCACACAGAATGGTTGTTTTACGGTCGTTTTATCAACTTATCGTTCGGTACTACAAGTCATTAAACAGCCGTCATGATCGTGTTCCGGCGCTGGTGCTAGAAATCGTTGGTGATACAAAATGGACATGATTAAAGAGAAGTCGACACACCCATCTCCTAGTGACGGTGAAGCTTGGCCTTGATCTTGTCCTTGAGACTTTCCTTCTCCTTCTCCGTGCCAGTGCCGGCACTGGAGCTGTGAGATTCGCTCGTCTTATCACTGGTCTTGTCGGCGCCGGACTTTGCAGACGCCTTGGCTGCCGCATGGGCGGGATCCTTCTCATCCAGGAGGCCTGACAAACGGTTAGTTGACACTGTGACCACCATTGATCAAGAGATCTAAACTTACGGTCTGCCTCGCGGCCGGCGCCAGGCTTCGTCGCATCAAAATCGCCGCCATCAGCAGCCAATCCCGTAGCCTTTACGAGCTTCTCGCCCGTACCCTCCTCGCCGTGGCTGGCATTAGGATCCTCCTCCTTCTTGCCTTCAGTGTCCGTCTTGGACTCCTCGCCTCCGATGAGACCACCCTTCGAGGATCCCTTGACATTGCCTGCATCACCCCCGCGCTCCTTGGCGACGGCTTCCAGGGGTCTTGGGCCTGGGCCATCAAGCTTGTCACCGCCAGCAGTGGGACCGGACGCACTGTTGTTGACATCTTGTCCCTTGGGTGCCGGATCGGTGGCTGGGTCACTGGGAGCGCGCGTCTCGGTCTTCCCTGCGGCGCTGTCGGCCGAGGGGACATCGTTGGGTGATGTGTGCTTGAGCTCGGGCTTGCCGATCTCTTCCTTGTGCTTTGGGGACAGCTCCTCTGTCGTCTTGTGCGTCGTGGATTCTTCGGTAGCACGCGACCTATCGGTCAAGCTGTGCTCGTTTCCAGTCTCGGTGCCCGTCGTTCCAGTCGTACCAGCTGACGGGGTGCTTGTGGTTGGGGCAGTGGTAGTAGACAGCCCAGTGGTTGTGGTTGCTGTTGACCCAGTCGCCGGCTCAGAGGTGTGAGCATCAGCCACGTTGGCCTTCTTCTCCTTGTTCAAAGGGTCTTCTGCTTGGAAGTAAGAATTGGAGTTATATAAAGCCAGGCTTTTGAGCTGAAGCTCTCCGTGGTGATTACATACCGATGTTGCCAGCATCATACGGTTCACCCTGGTTGGTGTTGCCCTTGACACCAGAGACAGGCTCTTGGTTAGCTTCGTTCGTTCCCCAGATGGCCTTGCTCGCCGCGCCCGCGATGTTGTTGATTGTCTCCATATTGGTCGGTGGGTACTCTGTGTTGACGTGGAAGTCTTTGTGATTTGTAGTTTGCGCAACTGCTTGAAGATGTAGTCCCGAGTGGGCTGGAGACTATGGTCGATTGAATGTTTGTTTGTTTTCTAGATGTAAGTGAATACTCCAGGAAGGCTGGGTGATACTGGGCAAAGAGGCGTCTTATAAGGTGAACGTGGGAGGCCTGGATAAGTAAGTAGGTAGCCTGCAGGTCTGACGTCTTTTGGGTCTTGCTTCTCCCCGCCTGCCTCTGATAGCAAACACATCACAATGGCATACCTGGACGGCTGGGGTGGACACGCAACGGACGGGATGGCCAGGTACGGGGCAGGCAAGTACTTCTCTGCCCTCCAGAGGGCAAGAGACAACGAAAGTAACTAACGGGTACGACGGCTCGAGACAGAAACAGATATATCTTGGCCTTGAATGGTCCAACTATTCCATCCTGCTGGACTCGCTAGCGGCACACATATGTCTCTCAGCCAATGGATTGCCCAAAGTGACGCGGAAGAATAGGAATGAGGGGTCTGACGCAGCTAATGCCATCGTTATCCAGGCATGTACATCCTAGCAGCCACACCTTGGTTCTTGTGTGGGAGGTATCTCTGGCGCACGTAAGAAACGAGGAAGAAGAAAAGGTGGCTTGGACATGGCCAAAGCAAGGCAAGGCGAGGCACGACAGGTTAGAACAGATGTAAATGAGCTCATCTGCGACGTTGGATTGGCTGGTAGTAGCCCAGCACGGAGAGACTAGACGAGATCACGTCAAAGCTGGCGCAAACGGACGAGCTGCGGTGGCTCCCGATGTGGCACATGTAGGGAAGACCAGCCAACGAGCGGGCCTGGAACTAATGGGTTGGTTTGCAGAGGTCGTCATCTTGCCCACCAATTTGCCAGGTCAACACAGTGTTGCCTGCATCTACCTTAGTTTAACGGGGAAGGTAAAGGACGGGATCTAGCGATCAGCAGCTGGCGGGGTTGGACAAGCCCGGGATGCAGAGGAAGCTATGACGTTGAGCGCGGTTGGAAGTGCAGTCACGGGAAATACAGGCCGGGCAGGAAGCAACAAAAGGTGCGATTACGTCACTGCCCCAGGCTATTTGGATCTTGGAAGGTGCCCACGAATGCCCGCGTTCAATGTACTACCCCAGAGGTCTCGACCTTCGAACTCTGGCGCAATCTCGCCCGCGGATGAATATGTCAGTTTCAGTGTCAATTGGAGACATCTACGATAGTTAACAATAATCTTGCAGTATAACGAGGGCATCGGTTGGGAAGGGGAAGGTGAGCTTTGTACAGCACGCACCGGCAGCAGAGGTAGGTAATCCACCTTACCCACCAATTTGAGGCCATGGACACGCCCTCCTGCAAAATGCCCCATACTCTCGAGGCTTGGCCTTGGCCGTCAAGATGTTCCTGAAAATGCGCATGTCACTGCTTGCGATATGCGACGGTAAAGCTGTCTCGCCAGGACACTAAAAGGCCGTAGCTCCTCTTTTCACATGCAAGCCAAGTCGGGACGCCGATAAGCTAGAGGTTGAGATGAAGAAATGGACCAAAAAAAAATGGCCAATGGTCCTTGTTCGCACACCATGGCGTCCAAGAAAGAAGCGCGGGGCCTCATGTTTGAATCATCCCATGTGAAGCTATACCAACGTCGTATGGGTAAGGTAGTCTGTAGGCAAGATTTCGTCTTAAATGGTCTCAACAAATGCTGCGGACTAATCCGGGCCGAAGGGGCCGCGATTCCCGTCCACTTCGGAGCCTCCTCCGGAATCACAACACCAGAGAAAAGAGAAGGGAGAAAGGTAGTGAGATCAGGTAGCGAGGGTGTCACCTGCTATATCCTCATCACCGAGTGGGTGGGGGAAACGCCCTGTGTGTGTATGAAATGGGAGGGCCTGCCATCGATCGGAAATGTCCCTCGTGCAGCTATTCGTTCAAGTAACTGGTCCAACGCTCTTTCTCTCAACAAGCTAAAATGGCTGAGGTAAGCGTATCACTGGTCACGCTGACGCTGCGCCGCCCGGCATGTCATCCGTCGGTGCTCCCTCTAGAAGTTATCTACCGTTATCTACTACAACTTCTAGACTACAACTTCTGTTCGTGCCTCTCATTACTACCTGCAACTCGTGCAATACCTCGAATGAATGGATTCGTATTCACACATCAAAGTTCGCCCTGGCGTGTGGTGATCTAGCATCAGCTACCTTTCTGTCTTGCCACGAACTTCAACATGCTTCTCTCAACACCTACCATTATTGGTTTGTGCTGGCTGGCGGGAGCTAGACTAACATCCGCAGTGCCACAAGTCTTATCTCTCGAAGATCATCCCAGAGACCAGAATGTACTGCTGTCTTCCGACAAAGGCATGCCTCCCGAATTCCTTAAAAATACCTTAGCTTCACAGATGGTCTAATGAGACTTTCCATAGCGCGCTCGACTGATTACTTCAGGCACTCGCTCTGGAGCGATCGTCGACAGTTCCAACAGCCGCCTGGTTTTGTTGCGTTCGGTGACTCGTATAGTGCCGGTATCGGCACCGGCGTTGATGGCGTCGAGGACGAATGCAGGCTGGGATCCCACGCTTACCCAGTTTTGATCTTCACCGATCTGGCTGAAAGCCAGTTCCCTGGAACAGCAACCTTTCAGTTCTTGTCATGTACCGGGTCGACCACCAGCAATGTTCTATCAGGTGGCGATCACAGCCAGGTTGACAAGTTCAACAAGTCGATCAATGCTGACTTTGCGGTACTTTCAATCGGAGGAAACGACCTTGGCTTTTTCTCCGTGATGAATGCTTGCATATTCCGCTTCTACAGCTTCAACTCTGGCAGTTGCGAGACAGCACTGCAGTACGTAACCGATCAGATCGAGAGTTCGGATTTCGCACAGCGGCTGGAAATGGTCATCATGGAGATACTGGACACAGTGCAGTGGGAGAAGCGGCCGTGGTTCATCATTACCGTGACCGGCTATGCTCGGTTCTTCAGCGTGGAAACTGACGAGTGCGACAATTGTACCCTCGGTGTCTGGTGGCAGGGACCAAAACTCAAGAGGGATGTACGCCAGAGGATGAACGACATGGTCGTGGCAGTCAATGAGAAACTGAGGAGTTCTATCGATGCCGTCAACTCGAGGTTTACGACTCCAAAGGTTCTGTTCGTCGATTATGACGCCAAGTTCGAAGGGCATCGTTTCTGCGAACCAGGCGTTATGGAACCAGCGTACAATAGGACAGAGACTTGGTTCTTTCTCGTCGGAGGCAAAGACAACAACCCAGATGTAATGGATCCGACGCCGGCCCCGAATGCTACAACAGTGGGCATCGAGTATGGTGCGAGTAGCAAGACGTTGTCTCCATTGTCACCGCTCACGGATCCGGAGACGTGCCTGGGCCCGGCCGAAAGATCAGGAGATTGGGGCCTGCTGGCTCTGTGTTACATGGCGAGAGCTAAACGCGATTACCCATCGCTGAAATTTACCGCGGGGGATGTCATGGTTCAGAATTCAATGTGGTATGTCCCAACATATTATGGGAAAACCTTCCATCCAGTAAGCTTTCGCTCCCCCAGTTTGACAGCTCGTCCTGAAACCGCAGCTGACAAAACTTACAGAGGAGCCTCGGTCACGAGGTGATTAGAGATGAAATCTACAGGACCTGGTCGCAAATAGATACAGTGAGGTAGAAATCAAAGGTATCAGCATGCGGACTGCCGCCCAACAGGACACGCGCGAAAAGAGCACATGAGTGGAGGGCAAACCCTCTTCTTGTCCATCAGATGTCAGGTACCACCGCTCACTACGCTTCGTACAAGCTACCAAGAGACCGCTCTGCGGGGGAATATACGGTTAACTTAATGTCGATCATTTCGACTTCATCCCTACCCTTGGATATCATACCCGTTTTTCATAGGGACAAGAACATCGCAGTATACGCAGATGCAGGGCCACGTCTGTTTCTCGCCGGAGCCGAGTCGGGGAGATTGTCTACTCTGGATCGCGGGTTACACCGAAGTTCCACACAACTGCTTCAGAGAGAGACCAGGGCCCATGCTGCAGGGGAAGGTGGGACATTGGCCCCTTTTGGGTGAGTGATGCACCCGTTTGGCGGGGTTGTTCTCTTGGCCCGGAGAAACTTTCGGTAAGATGGATAAAATGCCTTGACAGATGCTGTCTTCTTTTCATACTCCAATCTACTGAGCTGTAAGCGTGGCAAGAGGGTTGCTGTTTGGGGGTTTGAAGCGAGTGAAATCGAAGTTGATGTACACTCTTTGGGAGACTTTGGAATTGTGGACGGGTAGACGGAGGAGCCTCCGAAAAGTGTCTTACGACCCATCCATTATAAAATCAGACAACCCAATGAACAAACGACGACTCCTAGAGAAAAGTGGATGGGTCCAGGATCGTGGGGTACAACAACAGTGTTACTCCGCTCCACCTCAACCATTCTGGATTGACTGACTGAGCGGTGCCATTCCGACCTCTCGTCCATATAATATCGCCCCGAACATCGCCTCGGAGCCAAGTTATCAAGATTCAACCGTGAGATGACCCATACTGAGCCCATTTGACGGCTATCGTACCCTTCAAGTCTCCGGCCAAAGCAACTAGCCTGGCCATATTGTATGGCACTATTATGGCCTACAATCCAAGTAGAATTATAACAAGAATCCGGCGATGCGGATGGGTAAAGGGGGGGAGGACTCGCGGCAGGCAAAGCATGCCTGTGACACATAGCTAGGCTGTATTAGTGATGTTGACGGAGCTTGCGGAGTAGGTATGTATGGTTTCTTTTGGTTCCAATGTCTCTCTGCACTGCATGCCAAAGTCTGGAACGGTCCTACACTTTACCCAACTCAGAGCTGAGCCATATCGGGGTCTCGGGTCTCCGCCTTTGAGCTTCATTATTAATAATTACACACGTTTGCCACATAGCAGATCTCTATGTACGGCTGCAGATGAGCATCCTAGACAGTACCGAGTCTGGAATAACGGCCGTTGGTGATTCCAAACTAACCCTGTCAAGAATTCGCCAGTAGCGGTGATCCGTAACCACCAGCCGGGTACCGCCAGATCGGCTTGCAAGTGGCCTTCAACCTCTGATGTACGTGACAACGAGCGGTGTCTTCATTTTGAGGCATGGCAAATAGCCTGCCACTCTCCTAGCCTGAGGCTCTAAGCTATACCCGACGATATCCAAAGACAGCAACGTATCGAGGTTCTGTTCAGTACATCGTCACCATTTTGAGTATTGAATTATAGAGCCGACACGCAGGTCTCCATTCTATTGAGACTAACAAAAAAGTGAAAATGTGCCTGAGACGATTGTGGCTGTACACTGTAGTGACGAGCAATGAACTTGGAATTGTAGACATGCAGACACATGCAGACACATGCACACATGCACACAGGCACACAGGCACATAGGCACATAGGCACACATGGTATTACGGGATATCCGTAGATATGGGTGATTGGTTTGTGTTACATGCCTACTGTATGGGCCTGCATGTTATACGCAGCACTACCCAACCTTCGGCCGTGACAGCATACTGGTGCAGCACATCCCCGATGCGCGGACAGCGGGTTCGACCTTCTCGGCGGGCTATTTCGCGCCGTAGGGGAGGCGGAGGGATGCCGATGGGCGAGCCAGGGTTGAAGAGAGGGACCCTTATGATTGATCGAGATTGGGCCGTTCATCTTGATAGCCCACTTCCTGACGGGGAACGGAGAACTGCCCGGGCAGCACGGGCAGTAATGCTCGGGAATAAACTGCCTCGCGGTGGCACACACCGTAGGTAGCCGTACCTTGTACCTGGTTGAGATATGTTTGGTCTCTGAGGTGGAGATAGGTATGGAGTAGTCACTTACAGCTATTTGAGTGTGCTAGAGTCGAATAGCAGCCATCGCCAGCACGGCCACTCGTTCTATAAGTAGAGCTTTGCTGATGGGCCTACTCATCACCTTCGATACTTTATTCAGATGTTATGGTACAGCATCTCACATTTAGAGCACCTCACATATTTGGTGAAGGAGACCATTGCCGCATGGCACCGACTAAGGCACCGAGTCACGACCCCCGAGACGCGGCTTGACCGGGGAAACGTTTCCTGCACAAGCGCTACTCGAATACAGGTAAGCACGCAAGGTGATGGCTGCCGTCTGTCACGGTTTCAATTGTAATGCAGAAAGATCTGCGTCGTCTTGATTGGAAGCACCAGAGGGGCCACGCTAGGAACTTGCCGCTGGCACCTCACGCACGTTTTACATGGTGATCCAGCGAGGGGGCACGGAACCTTGTGCTGTATGCAGGAGTGCACCTACTCCGTACGGATATGTCAAGCGGCGTCTTCGTTTTCACCTGCCTAGAGTGGGTGAGTGTTACATATCTTGGCCTTCTTGGAAAGAGTTAGATTGAGGAAAAAGTATGGGGCGTGCTTGTGTGCTTTTGACACAATTGCCCTTTGCCCTCACTAGTTGCAAGAGCATACCTTTTGTGTGCCCCCCAAAGCTTGATGGTGCTGATTCCGAGTGTTGGGCTCATCACTCGCAGGTTTCTGGGCTGCATGGCTTTTCGTTGCACGCTGTAGACTGGATCGTCCGTATGTTGATCGAATCTGCAGTACATATACTAGGTGGGAAATGTTGAGCACAAAAGAACCTGCCTACTCTTCCAGTAGAAATCAACACAAGGTCTAGGCTCCTCCAAGCTTGATCTAACGTGGCATACCTTGGGCTACGGGCACCTGCGTTAGATATTCATGTCGATGGCCCGAGCCCGACGTCATCGACGTCAAAACGGACAATGCCCAAGCTTATCCTACCTTATGCGCCGGAGGCGACGTGAAGGGCAGTGTTCTGTTGCTCACAACGGGAGCCCATGACCCAGAAGCAAACGTTGATGGCTATCCGTACCTACTCTACAGTAAGACGATGGTGAGAGGATCTAATACCTTACTACGAGCCGCCTGTGACTGACCTTTTGGAAACTTTACAGCCCTTCTATGGAAGTACCTTAGTAGGGTTATGGCATATTACTGCCTTCCTTACGTGCCTCATGAATACATCACACAGCAGGTCGGTGGCTCAAACGAACTTTCCTTGTACGGCATTTTAGAGGCCCAGTTGCTAAGCCAAGAAACATGGGGTCCTACCAAAGTACCGAACACGAATGCTCACTGACCAGTGACAATGGTTTGGAGTCCTTGGGATCGGGTGACAAGGGCAAAGACTAGGGCGGGATTCGATGACAGATCCCGCTGCACTCTCCCGGAGCTTTCTCCCAAGTCCGAGCTACTTGGTATAGGTAGGTAGGCTCACACACTAGATACGACCACGCTGCGGCGCTGCGACGCTGCGTCTGGAAGTGCGAAGTGTGCGAAGTAGCGAAGGTTCGGTCTCTAAATCTCCAACATCACTCTAGGAGAGTCCAGTCTCAACCCCCCTTCCTCGCTCAGCCTCTCGCACCGGCCACTGATCGACAAGTCGACAGGTCCGTACCTATTCGTACATCCATTGTTTGATTATCAATTAACTTTGCTTAGGCACCTTGCTTCATGTTGTCTTGCCGCACAGCCTTTGCCTCGTACAGGCGCAACGAGCGTGCTAATGCAAAGCTCTGACGTCTGCGGACCGGTCCCCCAGGGTCTCCCCCCCAGCGTTGGGTCTGCTGTTGGAGCACCTAGCATAACTCCCCCTGTGCTAGGTATCCCAAAGGTACGGATACTTGGGGCTGCGTTCAAGTTGCTTTGCTTTGCTTTGCCTAGCGCGAGGTACCGTGCAGTTCCAGCACGAACATTTACAATACCTTACTTCCCTTCCTCACTGATACCGTACATCTCATCCTACCTTCGCCTTCTTCTCATTTGTCCACTCGCATTTCCCTTCTCGTTCCTTGGCTCAACATCCCTCCTGTTTATGGCCATCAATCCAAACCCACTTACCCTCTCTCAGCCTGGTCAATCACAATCTGAAAGGGCTAGTCACAGAGCCGGAAAACAAGACACTCTAAAAAGCCTAGAACTCAGACTCAAGCCTTCCATCCGCCCTGCCTCACAGGCTTCATAAGCATTGACGATTCAGCTGCTTTGTCCCACCCCGGCCCTAGTGTCATTTGGATCCGCGACGGGAGCTTCCAAGCCTGCGTCGCCTGCGTTCCCCTCTCTCACTGAACTCAACTAACGCCTTTCATCCCGCATACGTAGGGCTCAAAAGGCTCAGTAGTGCCTACCTTCCGGATAGTGTCGTCCCTCTTGTCTGTTCTCCCCTTCATCTTCTGCTGCTCGTGCTCCGCGCGAACTTAGTACAAGGTTGGGACAGCTCCAAAAAAAACCTCCATTTAGCAATCCCCCCCCCAGACCCTTACTACTAGACGCACCGGCCGTCCTTCTTTCCTAGAAGACTTGTCGCAGTCACATCTATCCATTCTTTCCTCTCGCCTCGTCTACCGCCTGCAGTTCGCTGCCTTTTGTTTCTCAATCGAAGTGCACATCTGGAAGACGTCGGTTCACTGACCGTTCTTGTCGAGCTCCTACAGCCTCTTGCCCGTCCTGATTCTCTGCCCGCGGGGTTGAGGAAGCGGGATTCGGATGGCATCACGCTGTGTTTCGAACGACTCGTGATGGACCAAGTGTCCCGGCGCCCGAATCTCCTACTTGCATCTCTTTCGCCGAACAACTAAAGCCAACAACACAACCTATACTCTGATCCCACGGTCTAATCAGGTCTAGGTTATCCAAGAATTCGCCTCAAGAATGGTCTACTGCGGCAAAGCCTCTCAGGGCTGTCAAAATTGCCGAACCCGTCGCATTAAGGTGTGTAGCACTGATCCCCTCAACTCTCGAAGAGCGGCTCTTGTGAAGAAGGCCCTGGTCTGGGCATTCTATCCATCAACTTCGTTGCTGGATAAAATTGACCAACACGGGACCGTGATTGACAAAACTCCCCTAATAGTGCGATAAAGTGAAACCCGAGTGTTCACAATGCATCCGCGTGGGCAAGAAATGCCCCGGGTATCGAGACCAACTTTCGCTCATGTTCCGCGATGAAAGCACCAAGGTCATCAAAAAAGCACACGCTCAATGGGGAGTTACCGATGGTGCTGAGAACGGTGCTGAGCGCGCATCGGCCTCGACAGCTCCATCACCGCCTGCTTCTTCGCCCTCTTACAGCCGGAAGGGCTCGCCGAACAGCACGAGGTCTGCATCAAGATCAGGAGCCGCGAATGTACCTTCGCCAGCACCGAGCTCGGCATCCTTTTCCGCCTCGCCTTCGTCAACGTACCGTTCTGTAGGCTCTTCATCACCGCCAGCGCTCCCGGCTGTCAAGGAAGAACACAACCGCGAGTCCAGCCCTCCGACACTCCAGATAGGTCCTACCCTCGAGGAGCAGGGTGTGCAGTTCTACGTCAATAGGTATTTGATAGGGCATCCTGATGAACCCAAAAACGGCCAAGATTTGAACACGGAGGGTTGGATATGGCATCCAGCAGTACAGGACGTCATGTGCGCCGTAGGCCTTGCTGGCCTGCATAACCTGACTGGCAACGCCAAAATGATGTCGACTGCGCGAGAGAAGTATGGTTCAGCACTACGACATACTGGGAAGCTGATCCGGCCTCCCCATACACCGAGCATAGATGTGACAATGAGGGCCGTGGTGGCCCTCGCCATGTTTGAGGTTCGCCCCCCAACCCTCTCCTGCAACTAGGGCTACGCGTCTTTGACTTTTGCTGTTATTCATATTGGCTGACATGGTTTCTCGCTCGCACAGGTTGTGAAAGGGACGCATCATTCCACAAGCACCGTCCATGCCCATGTTATGGGCGGGGCTGCGCTGATGAGAAGCTGGTGCCCTATGCCCAGTGCTCCATTTGCAGGCTTCAGGGCCTTGTTGCAGCTGTGCTACTCGATGGTAGAGACCGCCCCTCCCGATTTGGATTGTTTCGTGAAATTGACTCTTTCTGTAGTTCATACCTCTACACGTTGCTGGCATGCCCATGCCACCGGACTTCTACGATTGGGTTTCTTATGGTTCGCAACTCCAGCTGCCCATAGACCGACCATCGACCGACCTAGCCGTTCTGATCGCTCGATTTGTCGAAACCTCGTCTATTATTCATAACCATGTCATTAGCGACGGAAAACCAAAGACGGCCAGCGTTATTCAGCAGCTTTTGGATCTTGATCAAGATTTGGCCTCGTGGGAGAGTGGACTGGAGGGAGATTGGATTTACCGCACCATTCACGCCACCCATCTCCCTCCTAAGGCAGTGTTCCAGTGCGAATACCACAAATACCACGACGTCTGGACTGCTCGAATCTGGAATTACTACCGATGGTGCCGGATTCTGGTCAACCAGAATTTGCTGGATCTGACGAATAAGAACCCCGTATCCAGTTTATCGCTGGTATCAGCGGCTGCGCAGGATGAGTTTCTGAACGTGATCCGACATTTGGCGAGGGATATACTTATTAGTGCACCAACACATTGGCGACACCCGGCCCTAGACGGACCGGCCCAGATAACAGTGGAAAGTCCCGGTGGAGGAGGAGCTGGATCAGCAGGACTGCCGGCATTGCTATTCCACCTTAAAGTGGCGGGCTGCGCTCCTGGAGTGCCCAAAGACTACTGGGAATGGGCGTTGGGAATCATCCAAACAATTTGGGGCGACATGGGAATGTTGCACGCACGATCGATGATGGAAGCCATGCGAGCGCATGAAGACACGGTGCTGAGAACTGGTGCAGCTGGGATACTGGCAGATGACTGGTAGACGGGGTCATGGGACGGAAAAGGGAAACGGCGTAACGGGGTTGGGGAAATCAGTATGGTTTTTTGGTCTTGACGATTTAGCAAAGGTCCGGAGCAGCGGCCAGGTATGGCTGGGTGATACCATCGGTTTTGAAGTAGGGCTTCGTTCCTCCCGGCATGAAAAATGACATGGCAAATTGAAGGAAGTTCTGGCGTGAGGTATATCCGGACGCGAGTTCGTGACGGCAGACCCTACGTCAAGATGAGTTGCAACGGTTCCTGATGAGATAGTTGCGGCATAGCCATTGCTTTGCAACGCTGTGGGCCATAGGCGTTTGAAGATGTCTCCAATCCATTATGTCAGTAGCATTCTCTACGATGCATTCATTAAATAGTAATGAAGAGGACCACAAATGGATCTGCGCGTCTGAAAGTGACGGCCGCTGTTCCGGAATCTGATATATTAACAGTGCGGATTGCGAGACATACAGTCTGTCAGCACGTTATACTGGGGAGATGGCCTATGAGCTCTTGCATGTGGAGGCCCCAGGCTCCCACGCGTGACCTCCACTGGGACAGCCCCCCGTCCACCTACCTTACCCAACCAAAGGCGACCCAACGACGACATTCGACGACTACGATAAGGCCAGGGCGTGACGCATCGCAATTATTTTATCAACCATCATATCGTCTGCTATCCGATGAGACATTCGAAATTTCTCTGAAGTCTTCTGCCATGAAGTGACGCTCACGGGCAGAGTTTCATCGCCGGACATTGATATCTCGCGTCTCCGTCGCCACGCACACCACCCATAGAGACCCCTCCGTCGCGATCGTATCGCACTTCGCCGTCATCACTACATCAAACCACCCCATCAGGCGAAACAGCCTACCGACACGATGGCCGCCGTTTCCGACTCCAAAAAGAGTAATGCGCCCGCGTCCTCGTACTCTTGCGCAGCTCTGACAGTACACTAACAACAACTTGCGCATATAGACGACGAGCAGACGATCAAGGTCGCATCGAAGAAGGACCCCAAGAACAAGCCTGACGGCCCTATTAAGCTCAAGAAACCCGCTCCCAAGTATAATAAGCCTGGAAATTGGAGGGAAGGAAGCATTGTAGAAGGTGAGTCGACTGAATCGCGCAACGGATACGAGGCTTGGAGACTGACCGATGTGAGCACCAGAAGACAAGAAATCAAAGAAGGATGATTCCGCATCAATATCTGTCGCTTCTCCAGGACCCGTCGTTAATCCCCTCGATGATATCGCGCGCGAAGCCTTTGCGACTGGCCGGCCGCTGGAGGACACACCCGACCTACAACAATGCAAGCACTGCAAGAAGAGCATCCTCAAAACAGCCGCCAAGACTCACATCGCCGCATGTCTTAAGCTGAAGAAGGAGAAGGCCCAGAGGAAAAAGGAGGCGAGAGAGGCCCGCGAGCGCGCTAAGGAAGCTGCACGTGAAGAGGAAGCCAGAAAGGCAGACGAAGATCCCGATGGCAAAGGCGACGATGACAGCGACGGCGATGAAGACGGCGGCGACGGCAAAAAGGCTACCGGCAACAAAACTGCAAAGAAGACAGGGGGAAAGAAAACCGACGGTGATACCGGCAAGGGCAAGAAGCGCAAAGCAGACGGAGACGCGGAGAAAGGGCCTAAGCAGAAAAAGAAGAAGGAAGAACCGAAGCCAAAGGCCCCCAAGCCGAAAGGTATGGACCGTTGTCTCATTGAGATATTCACCTGGTTTCTGACTATGTACAGGTCCCGTGGATGTCGAACGACAGTGTGGTGTTCTGTTGCCCAACGGGCAGCCTTGCGCCAGATCTCTTACGTGCAAGAGCCATAGCATGGGTGCAAAACGTGCTGTTGCGGGTAGATCTCTTCCCTACGACATGCTTCTGGCGGCGTACCAGAAGAAGAACCAGGCCAAACAGCAGAGTATGTGGCCCCCTGAACACGTTTTAGAGAGAATGTCGCTGACAACATATCATTATAGAGGCTGCTCTCGACGCCAATGCCCCACTAGAGGACGAAGATGAAGCCAACGCCGGGCCGGTTGACTCGGACGAAGAGACGGCCGCTGTCATGAGTGCGCTGGCGCACTGGAATCCACAACCTGTGGTGCCGCAGCCAGTACTCATTCCAATTAAGAGACAGTACCAGCTAGCTCGGCTTCACGAGCAGCTGCAAATGGCGACGAACGGTGGAAGAACAAACATATTTAAAGTCAACGGTTTTGGGGCGCAGAGGCTACCCCAAGGTCATCCAGGACTCAACGACACGGAGGACGCGCCTGGCGAGCTTGACGACGTGAACTTTGGAGGCGCTCGCAGGTCTTCCAGCTTCAGCATGCAAAGCCATCCTCAACGACGGCCGTCTGTAACAAGCAGAGGATAGTGTAGTGCAGGCGTGGCCGCTGGAAAGAAGCCCACCTGTTGTGACTTCCTGATACTCTTTTCAGGCGGAAACACCATTGGATTTTCTTCGTGGGATGGAGTGGTCTCCTGCAATCTTAACTAAAAGGACGGGCGGCGTTATGATTTTGGGCGGTATACCATGTGGTCGCAGCTGGAAAGAAGTTGCTTCTCTCTTCCCCTCATCCGTGTTTCTCAAATTGCCCATTGGTTTCTCTTTCAGCAGCGGCGTTTGGTGGGTTGTGCACGAGGGATCTCTCGCTGCTACTTGTGGAAAAGCAGCAGCGAATGTGTATCTATATATCTATATGAACGATGCGTTTCGGATGTAAGGCGCGAAGGATGACAAGTTCAAGAAACTAGATCTCCTAGTTCTAGGTCATGAAAGCATGGGTAACAATAATTAAGTTAAACCCTCGCGTACCATGGCGTAAAGATGCCATCCGAACCCAAAGTCGCGAACGGTCGATTGTGAGGCGCATGGTATTCTACAATTTACCTATCGAGCTGGGATTGTACATATGGGATGGCTGGTGGGTCTGTTGGTTTGCGCATCCAGAGCTACCCCCGTCTGCGCCGTCTGCGGATTAGCGCCGCTACAACACTTTCACGCGATGATGACGTCGTTGTAGTCAGGCTAGTTTACCCCGGATTTTCGCCGTGGCCGCAAGCACTATCGGCGCCGAGCTGACCTCGGTACTACATATCTGCCCCCTAGGTTGACGAAAGGAAATGCCGTCGTCTTCGATCTCTATGCTCGTTGATCTCTGCCTCTTACCACTTACATTTCATACGTCCTACATAGCATATCCGCTCTACACACTGAGGAGAACAACAAGGATCTACTGAACTGCGCCGACCTACAGCATCCCCTACTTTGACGCATTTCTAGTTACTTCTACAAAACCACTTATTCTCATAGTTTAATCCAATTGATTTGTACTTTCAAGTTGTATACTACTTCCCCAAGACCATGGCGCCCGCAGGCGTCCTCGATGCCTTGGGCCACGCCCTCGCAGGCGCCCTTGGAACTGCCTTCTCGACAGCTGCAGTGTATCCCCTCGACCTTGTCACCACACGCCTCAAAGTCCAGCGGCAGCTGCGAAGCGAGGATGCGATCTCCGAAAAGGACGAGTACAAAGGCGTGGTGCAAGCCATGAGAGCCATCACGGCGCAAGAAGGCGGCATATCGGCCCTCTACACGGGTCTCGCCCAGGACGTTTTCAAGTCCATCGCGGACTCGTTCCTCTTCTTTCTCTTTTATGAGTACTTTCGAGGCACGCGCCGGCGCTCGCGTGGGAAACGACTGTCGGTCCTGGACGAGTTGGCCGTGGGCGCGTTGGCGGGCGCCTGTGCGAGAGCCTGCACGACGCCAATTGCGAACGTAGTCGCGAGAAAACAGACATCAGCGATGATTGAAGGCAACGAGGAGGGCGGGGACGCATCGGTGTGGGAAATTCTCTCGTCAATTCGCGCAGAAAACGGCATGGCTGGTCTTTGGGCCGGTTATTCCGCGTCATTGCTGTTGACCATCAACCCTAGCATCACATTCTTCCTCAACGAAAAGCTGGGAAAGACCCTACTCCCGGACTCTGACGAAGCCTCGCACAACACGCACACTACATTCCTCCTCGCTGCTGCGAGCAAGTCCATTGCGACCATCATCAGTTATCCCATACAGACCGCAAAGGCCAGACTACAGATGCGCGGTACTGCTTCGCCGCGGAGAAGCACTGATTCCCAAGAAAGACCTCGTGCCGAGGACCTCAGCAAGGAGCCTTCTAGTCCAGGTGCGCTGGCCAAGACGAAGGAGGCGCTTGATAACAGCGTGCTCGCCATTGTCTTGTCCATTGCCAGAACCGACGGAATAGCGGCCTTATACGCCGGGCTTCAGGGCGAAGTGCTCAAGAGCTTCTTCAGCCATGGCCTGACAATGGTATCCAAAGGCGTCATTCACACCTTCGTAATCCGCCTTGGTCTTCTGCTGGTGTCCTTGTCACGGAGACAGTCGCGCGATATTAAGATGCAGCACCTGAGACGAGTTTTCCTCCGACTTCGATGAAAGGATATCTGTTCATCTTGCTGTCGTTTCGAGGCTAAGAAGCTTCAGCGCTGCGTGACTGTGTCTGAGAGAGCCTTCTAGAGCATACAAGACAGTCATGCCGTTGAATAGCTTTTGGACGGTGCCATCGCCAATTCACATGAACCGTGATATGCAGGTCATGAGCACAACTGCATTAGCATTGGAAAGCGACGCCGCTTCTCTCAACTTTGCTTGCTCCCCGAGCGGAGAACCCAGTGCCCTCGGACCTGAGTTCTATCAGCCCAGCAAACTCCTGTTTAGGTTCATTGTGCTTGCTATCTGGGCGGGCCGCAGGAAGCCTAGCGTCGCACACGTAGCATGCATTTTCTTGCGGTGTCATAAACTTCACAGCGCAATTGCGGCAAATGACGTGACCACACTTTTCGGCCATGAGAGGTCGCGAGGCATTTCCGAGCGTCTTGACACAGGACGGGCAAATGCGGCGGCTAGAGTTGGTCTTAGTGTCGAGCTCTTCTTTGAATTCGAGCGAAGTGAGACTCTTGAGTGAGAAGGAGTGCCGAGACTCGTCTACCGAAGCTGGGCAGATGGGCGCCAGCTTAATCTTTTTGGGAGCGGCTGCCAAACCCTCCGCCATACGAGCTGCGTTGGCATCTGGTGTTTGCCCTGGTGTCCAGAAGAATGGTATACTCTCCTTGGATGCCTAGATAGAGTTAGCATGGCATAGCTGGGTAATCGGGGTCTAAGGGTAGATGGCAGCATACTTTCTCATCTTTAATCAACTTTTTGGCCTTCGTGCGATCCTCCTTGGCAATTCTGTCTAACTCATCCTGGTCCAGCACAAACTTCCTCTTGGTGACCTGAATGTCCTTGGTGGTGTTGGGGTCGGCTCCCTCGATCTTAGTCGATAGACTGGATGATGAAGATGCCGTTACCGCAGCCGACGGTTTCAGCCCTGCTTGGATACTCTCAAAGTCTTTGACAGCCCGTTCTTGGGCTTCAGCATCTTGTTGTGCCTGCGCTTCCAAGGTCGCCTGCTCATTCTTCTCCCGAACCTTTTCTTCGCGCTTGATCTCCTTCTTCTGCGCGAGCAGATTGGCCACAGCGCACTCTCGACAGAAAATGTCGCCGTGACTACATGAGACTGGGTCCCTAGCCATTTCAAGGCAGAGGTAGCAAGAGCCAAAGGGGAGAAAAGAATCGCGAGACAAACGGGCTGAGGTGGATGCCCATGCAGCCTTGGCCATATCACGCTCATAAGAGGTGAAGACGCTACGCGACGTGTTTCTTTTGCCTATAGATAGTCAGATCCACGAATAGATGCACACGAGGGGATGAACTTGAAGGTGGAGGCTTACTGTGTGCCATGGTGTTGATTGTGACAAGGAACTTGGCGAGACAGACAAAACTACCAAAGTTGAGCAAAATAGGAAGCGTGGTATGAACGCTCCGTTGATCGATGACTTTGGATTCTCAATCTGGTTTGGTAGAAGGATGAGATGGTGGATTGTGAAGAAGTCAAGCAGTTACTTCGTATTAAAGCAAGGTAACGAGATAAACGAGTGGGTAAGGAAGTTGAGACGGGTCAGGATACCATTGTCTAGGCAAGGCAGAAAGACATGTCAAAGTGACAGGGAACATGGCCCAGGCGCCGTGAGCCGTATCCGCGGTACGGATATATATGTACTTATCGAGAGCGTCTACCCTCTTAGCGAGATGAATGTTGTATAGCGACCCACTTTAATGTAAGGCAAAGACAGCTTTTTTTCTCGATTCTCATCTTGGATTTCAATTGACAGCCAAGCTCGGAGTGCCAATGGCTGATACCATTTTCTTCTTACTGTTCATACACAGCGTGTGAATTTTTTGTCAATTACCTTTCCTAATCACGTGTTTGTCATTGGCCCGAAGAGGTGGATTTATGACGCGGTTGATTCGCTCCAATCACCGTGTCACCTACTGTCACCCGGTCACTTTCATCCCTTTCACTCACTTCACCAGTTCGGGCCGGCGAGGTCGAAGACTGTCTTCCCCCGCGCCACACTTGTAGAAAAGAAACATGACGGCCTTGGAGGAGAGGCCAAGTGAGCCAAGCCTACCATGGCGGATGGCGTCTTCGGCTATAATGGGCCTTACTGGTGCCATCTCTCGAGCCTTCTTATACACCTTTCATGACGTCCAGACCGAGAACCAAGCTCGATTTTTAGAAGTTCTGGACAGGCGTCGAGCCGAGACTCCTCAACGTGGTCTCATCACTGGTAATTTATCCTTGTTGTATTCTCTCAAAGAAGATGAGCTTATAACTGACCACTATGGACTGCAGTCTCAAACCACATCAGCGTGTGAGTTTTTTTTTTTTAGTTTTTTTTTTAAAAAAAAAAGTCAAGACCCGTCTCTCGTTTCAATCTGACGAGTCTTGAATCAACAGTTTAGACGACCCCTTAATATGGGGTGTGCTGCCGCTCAAGTACAATATGTACCCCCTGAGTGCGAGATGGGGTCTGGGTGCTCATGACATCTGTTTCAAGAACCGGTAAAGACTACACATATTTCAATTGGACAATGAGGGGCCTCCACTAACAAAATCGCAGCGCTTTCAAAACGTTCTTTACCCTCGGTCAGGTTTTGCCGACATATCGCTTGCTGCACTCCCCCTATGGCGGATTATTCCAGCCCACCATGACCCAGGCGATCCGCTTAGTATCCGGCCCCGGGGCACTGTTCCCCTTCAAAGCCGCCTTTGAAGCCGGAAACAACGAAGTCTTTTCCGCGCCCACTTACTACAGAAGCAAGCACGGCGCGTGGGTTCACGTGTTCCCCGAAGGCTGTACGCATCAAAATCCTGAACGGACCCTCCGCTATTTCAAGTGGGGTGTTTCCCGGTTGATCCTCGAATCCGACCCGGCCCCCCAGCTCGTTCCCATGTTCATCGACGGATTCTCAGACATCATGCCGGAGGATAGGAAATGGCTGCGATTTCTCCCGCGCATCGGTGCCAAAATCCGCGTCTTTTACGGCGAGGCTCTCGAAGTGGGCGAGGCCTTCAAAGAGCAGCGTCTAAAGTGGAAGCGTATCGTGCAGAAAGAAGTGGAGGCCCGAGGCAAACCGTTGAGCGTCGGCGAAGTACCAGAGTCCCTGAAGAACCACCCCGAAGCGATTCAGCTGCGTATAGAAGTCGCCAAGACTGTCAGAGATATGGTGCAAGAGCTGAGGATAAGTGCGGGATATTCTCGTGACAGCCCGGCATACGCTCTTGCTGAGACATGGGAGCGCGAACCCAAGGACAAGCAGTTCAAGAGTCCTGTAGATGATAGCCTGGTTAACAAAGAATAACGACACTTCGACTTGGATGGCGGCTCATGGAAGGCACGCCATATGTACAATCTTCTACACTTTGTAAATATACAATAAGCGGGACTCTTGGAATGCATTGTTTACTACTTGGTTGCGAGCGATACTCGCGACTGTCATAATCACCCTCGATCCCTCACACAACGCCAAAAGAAGCGAAGTCATTAGTAACGCCCGTAATGCCCCTTTGGCAAAGCCTGCCAACAATGCCATACCCTCCACCATGAAGTTGCCACTCATTGCTACCGATGCAAATAATGCATAGCAGACCACCGGTCCCGCAAGAGCGTAAACCACAAATGCATGCGGGCGCCTAGCCCCGGTTCGAAGTCCGAGAATCAGTAATTTTCGTAAGACCCTTGTCCCGGGTAGGCTCTAGCTTGTGCTTGCAAAGCTTGCTGCTGATGCTGTTGCATGACGATATCGTTGAACCAGGGATGCTTGAGGGCTTCGTGAGCACTGATGCGAAGTTCGGGGCGTAGCTGCAGCATTCGTTGGAGCAAATCGATGCCAGTAGGGTCGATCTGAGGAAGAATCTGACGAAGGTCTTGAGTGGCGTACATCTGGAAAGTGGGCTTGTACTCGGGAAATTGCGTAATGCCAGTCCAGGTTCGTTCGGTTGGGGTTCCCATGATGCGGAAGATACGAATAATCTGGTCCTCGTTTGTTGTGCCAGGGAACAGTGGTCTGCCAGTGTACATTTCCGCCATGATACATCCCGCAGACCAGATGTCAATGCTAGTATTGTACGTTCTGCTGCCCAAGAGGACATCTGGTGCGCGATACCACAATGTGACTACCTCGTTCGAGAACGTGTTAACGGGAATGCCGAAGGCACGAGCAAGGCCGAAATCGCCAAGCTTCAGCTGTCCCTTGCCGTTAATCAGAAGATTCTGAGGCTTAAGGTCTCGATGCAAAACTCTGTTCTGGTGGCAGAAGTCGATGCCTCTCAGCAGTTGATACATGAACGACTTGATCTGGTGAGGCTTGAGGGCGCCTCTATCGCCATGGGTGTCCATGTATTTCTTAAGATCTCCATCCATGTATTCAAACACCAACATCAGCTTGTTCTCGGTGTGGATCACATCGTGGAGGGCGACAATGTTCTCGTGCTTTAGCTCCTTCATGAGCGAGATCTCTCTTATCGCCGTCGAGGGGGTGCCTTCTTCCGAGTCCAAGTGGATTTCTTTGAGAGCGACAAGCTCTCCTGTCTGCCGATTGCGACCTTTGAACACCTACGAATAAATAGTCAGTCTCTACGCGTATGAAATGTGGAACTGAAAGGGTATACAGTAGCGTAGGTGCCCTCGCCAAGCTTCTCAAGCTGCTGGAACGAGCTTGGGTGTCTCTTGCCGTCCATGTCTGCTGAATGGAGCTGGCAACGATGTCGAGATTGTGGGTAGTGCGGAAGAAGTTCGCCGTGTCAACGGAATCAACAAATAAGATTCTTAAACTCGGCTTGGGATCGTAAAGGCCGTCGTCGACGAGGCTGACTGGAAGAGGAGAAAACAGAGAGCTGCGATGCGCGCCAGCCCAAGACGTGTGCTACGATAGGGGCTCGCACGACAAGTCAAGTTGCCTGAAAACTCTGTATCCGGGTGGCTTGGGATGAATGGCTTGCGTTGTGGTCGACAGCTAATGGTATGGTCAAGCAATAGTGCAGTGCGGATAACCAAGTGTGTGTTCAAATCGTTGTCGGAGCTGAAAGGAGTGACGACAGAAAGTGGTGCGGTTGCGGCGTGGTTAGTGTTCACTGTTGGGTTGCATTCAGCCTGTCGGTCGACCTTGCACCTTGCGGAGACGTGAAGAGGAGACCGGGACCCCACCACTTACTTCCTAATTTTTGCTACCTGATGCCGGTCCAATATATTGTTTTCAAGCTATAATTGAGACAAGCGTAAGAGGAACCAACTTGATATGCGATCTCGAACAAAGTAAAAACCTCCCCTAATCATGGTACATAGTGCGGAACTCCATAACTTTTTCTTGACGTGTCAACGTGTACCTATCCTCCCATTGATAGGTTTGGCGCGCGTTAATGCTACTACCTACCTAAGGTAGGTAGCACGGTAGGCAGGAAAAAAAAACGGCTCTCACCTCAGGTTCGGCGTGGGCAAGGGACTGGTGACCGACCAGCTGCTCCCCGTGGCCCCCAGTCTCCATTATCACCCCGCACTAGTACAAAAGTAGTCACTCGCTCCACTTGGTCCTCTTATCGCTTCTCCACCCTTGCGGGATGACCTTATCGCCATCAGACCCCTCTCGTCTCGTCGGTCAACGACACAACTGACCTTACCTCACCTACCTTACTTACCTACTCTACTAACTATCTCAGCCTGGCATTCCGTCAACGCTACTACGGTATATGCATAGGTGGCGCTTATGTTCCCTCCTGCGAAGCTCTTTCCAAACTTTACGTGAACCACCTATACGCTCCAACTAATAACGATCTAATGATACTGTCGCGTCGAAATGCGACCCTTAGCTGGATGCGACTCGTTCCCGGGGAATCTCTCCTCAGGTGATGGGGCCAACGAAAAATTCGCTTCGGCTTCGCAGAGTACCGCCTCACACATGTCCTTTATCCTCGCTGACGAAGCTACCATGGAGGCCTCCTTGCCATCGCATCCCTTTTCTGCTCCTCGGACGCGCGAACAGCGGAAACAAGCTACCTCCGCGGCGCCCGGTGACGGATCAGCGCAGAGACGTGAATCTGGCACAGCTCCACCACCCACTTCGCGTTATACATCTTTGCAACCCCATGATGCCGTATCTCATCGGCCAAATTGTACCAGCAATCCATTGCCGGTGGGGATATCGACACCTCCTCCGCCATCTCTGTCTCAACCTATGACACCCATACTCTATGGCGTATCAGGACCATGCTCTGCCATCAGCAGTTCGTCATCGCGGCCCAACTCCCTTGCTGGATCGCTTTCGGAATACCAGGAAAGCTTTGTCATGAGTGCCTTCGGAACCTCGGACGCTGGTCGCCCCCAAAGCATATACAGTGGCGAGGTTGCTCAGCAGTTCATTATGCCCACCATCAACGTCCCTAGTCGCAGACCCTTCACAGAAGCTGGGAAGGGCCTTGGTCGGCTCAAGCTACTCGTAGCTGGTAAATCAGGTATTACATGATCTTCTGCTCCAAGCATGTAGCATTCGCTGATGAAACGTGTCTTTTCAGGCGTAGGGAAGACCGCTTTAATCCGAACTATAACACAATCTTGCTCGCACATCGTACACGTTGACCCTACCGTGCCAGTGGCAATGGCGTCTAAAGGTTTTCTGCCGACAAAGACGATGCCGAATAGTCCTCCAATATCTCAGGGCACTTTCCAAATCACAGAAACTTTAGCCAGCACCAAACCGTACCCTTCCTGGTGGAAGGATTCGGCCTTTTCATCCCCCACGCCTGCTCCGATTCTAACAGAGGACACAATCCTAGACAGGAACATATGTCTGGTTGATACGCCTGGATATCAGGAAACATGTCGTGTATGTTTTGCAAGCATTTCACCCTTACGAGCCGCGAATAGACTAATAAGATCATAGCCAACGGATACTATGGGCCAAGTCTCACAATACGTTGAATCATACCTTCAAAAGAGCCGTCTCGACGGGCTAGAAGACCCCGACGTTCTAAAAACAATCAGTGGAAGCGGCGGCTTGCTTGTTGATGCAGTGCTCTACATGATTCCTAGTTCAGGTAAGAAACTACGCTATCACGGAATGAAAGCACAAACACTCAAATCATCTTAGGCCTGTCTGCGACTGATATACATTATCTCCGTCAACTGGATGCACTGACCAACATTATTCCACTCATTGCGCATGCCGACACTTTGACATTAGAGCAGACAGCAGCGGCTAAGAAGCACATTGCCCAACAACTTGCCGAGGCTGACCTCGGGCTGTTCTCTTTCGATCCCTCAACGGATGGTGTGGGAGAACAACATATATATGCTGCTTCTAGCGAGTTGGGATCGGACTCAGAGGTCATGGACGCCAGTCTACTCATGAGCTCCGAGTATGTGCAACCTTTTGTGCCCTCCGATCTCTCGCAGTTAGTGGAAAACATATTTTGCGTGAATGGCGCAACTTGGCTTCGCCATGCTGCCGCAGCAAAGCTGCTGGGTTGGCGCACTCGTCATCCTGGGTCCAGTAACATCTCCGGCTTCGCCTCAAAGTCAGAAGGCTCGACGGATATGTGGTTGATGCGTCCTAGGGCCGGATCACTGACTCCCCTTGCCATGAGTCGCGCTCCAAACTATGCTGCTTGTAATGAACGACTCTGCCGAGTGCAGCTCACGAACTGGGCGGCAGATCTACAACGCAGCCTGGCCAACGAAAAACGGATGCAAGAGCTTAGGGCATGGGAGCAGGTGGCTATGTTGTCGAGGGGAGTTTGGAGAGATGGCCGCTCAGCATCAGGCGGCGATGGCGCAGATATGGCGTTGACGAGAACAAGAGGACGGGGAGAACGTCGGCAGTCTCTCCGTAAGAGGAGACACAGTACAGGCTCTGGCCTAGATTGGGGGCTTGTGAGACATCAGGATCCTTTGGGCTTGCTTCAGCTTAATGCCGACTTTAGATGGCAGGGTTGGAAGACGCTGGAAATGGTCGGTGGCATTGGGATCCTGGGCGGTTTGGCGTGGTTGCTTGTTTAGAGTCGCCGCAGTATCGAGCTGACGGTGGCATCTGAGCATGGCGCTTCACCCGAAATGATGGCAGCTATTGGGCATACATACCCTATCGGGCGTTCGTATGGAAAGTAGAAAATACCAGCCAATCTGGGTACCTTAATTGATGGGATTCTTTGAAGTTGTGAGCTGTATAGCCTTCGTGCACTCATGCCGCTGTGGTGATGGAGGTCTGCCTGGGGCCTTTGAGTCGTTGACAACATCACACTGGGCGCTCTGTGGCTCACTGTCCAGCATCCAAAGTGGGTGGGTCAGTTCCGCTGCCTTTCATTGGCTAATTGAGAGCAGTCTGCCTTCAGTCAGTTCTCCACTGTGCAAACGCGCCTGCTTAGGTTCCTAGCCTACCACTTCAACAACGGGACTTGGACTGTCCACCTTACCCATCCGTACCTTGCCTCACTCAGACCTTTGTGCCTCGCGTCCCAGAGGTGAACGGTACTAGGCCTCCAGCTGCAAGGTACTTGGTGACCACCTAGTTTGGGCTAAGTTATCACAGCGACGCCTACTTCGGCTGGGTTGTTTTCGCAGTGGAAGCTTCTTCCTTGACAGCCTTTTCCTTTCTCTATTACATCTTCTTTTCCTATCCTCCTTCCATCACCAGGGTCGCCCAACCGTCGCTTCTTCAGCTAGGCCAGTCCTTCTCTATTTACTTACCGTATCTATTTCTTCCAGAAGCAACAATCAGCCATGGCTAGCGAGGAAAGACCGTTGGGCGTGACGCCGCCCATCTCTACTGCCCTTCCCACCGAGGCGGAAAATCAAGCGAAGGAAATGCTCATGGAAGAGTTGAGGAAGCAGAATACTTTTGAGAGCGCTGCGGATACCCAAAAGAGGCAAGTCTTCGAATCAAGCCACCGGTCATTCCCGGTCTGTTCTTGCTAACGATCTGCGCGGTTGGCCATAGATACGAAGTCATTGCGCACCTCGAGCGGATATGCGACGAATTCGTGAAAAGAGTGGCACGGAAAAGGGAGGCAGGCAACGAAGCTCTCATCAGAGACGCTAGAGGAAAGATCTTCACCTATGGCAGTTTTCGCTTGGGCGTCTTCGGCCCTGGTTCCGATATCGACACCCTCGTTGTCGCTCCGAAATACGTAACACGAGCCGACTACTTTGAGATCTTCCCCAATCTGCTGAAGGAAATGGCGCCTCCTGGCTCAATCACGGATATGGCAGTGGTAGCCGACGCCTTCGTGCCAATCATCAAATTCGAATTCGATGGCATCAGCATCGATTTGATCTTTTCTCGCATTGCTATGCTAAAGCAATTGAACAAGGACTTTACTGTCCAAGACTCCGGCCTTCTTCGAGGTCTAGATGAGGCTGAACTTCGGTCGCTCAATGGCACACGGGTTACAGACGAGATTCTCAGCTTGGTTCCCGAAGAAAGCACCTTCAAGTTGGCCTTGCGTGCCATCAAGCTTTGGGCGCAGCGTCGGGCCATCTACGCAAATATCATGGGATTTCCTGGTGGCGTGGCTTGGGCCATGCTGGTTGCTCGCGTCTGCCAACTATACCCCAAGGCCGCGAGCTCCGTCATCGTCAACAAATTCTTCCACATCATGCGCCGCTGGCCATGGCCACAGCCCGTCCTTCTGAAGCACGTTGAAGGCGGCCCTTTGCAGGTCCGCGTTTGGAATCCCAAGGTTTGCTTTCCCTACTTCCCTGGTCCTGGCTTCATATGTGCTAATCAAACTATATAGCTTTACAAGGGCGATCAATTCCATCTGATGCCTGTAATCACCCCGGCCTACCCTTCCATGTGCGCCACGTACAACATTACCAGGTCAGCCATGACTGTCATCCAGCAAGAGCTCAGCAGAGGATGCGACATTACCGACAACATCATGTTGGGCAAAAGCCCCTGGAGCGATCTGTTTGTCAAGCATACTTTCTTCACCAAGGGGTACAAGTATTACATCTCCGTCATCACTGCTAGCACAGACAAAGAAGCACATAAGATCTGGTCAGGCTATGTGGAATCCAAGGTCCGTGTTTTGGTTCAAGGCTTGGAACAGCACCAATCGATAGCTTTGGCCCATGCATTCAACAAAGGTTACGAGCGTCGGCACAGGTGTACGAACGAGGCAGAAATTTCTCAGGTTCAAGCTGGCAGTTTCTCGTTCCTAGCAAAGGATAGCGACGTCAAAGAAGAAGACTTTGAGCAAGAGGGAAAGGTCGAAGAGGTTCAGCCGGTTGAAACGAAGCCCGACTTGAGCGGCATCCCAGGGCTCAAGACGGAACCCACTAACGACGCACATGGGCTCAAGACTGAAGAAAATGAGACACAGCCAGGTGTGAAGACCGAAGGAGTCAAGTCGGAAGACGATAATTCCAAAGCTCCCAGTCAGATCCCGAAGCATAACCCTTATACCGACGTCTTTACCACCACGCACTACATCGGGCTGACCCTGAGCGAAGGTGAGTCTGCTGCCGCTAACGAAAACGAGTTCAAAGATCGGCCTTTAAGGCTTTACCTTCCAGTCTGGGTCAAAGTGGCATGGCAGCTAACTGTTTAGGCGCGAAATCACTTGATCTATCCTATCAAGTCGAGAACTTCAAGGCCTTGTGTACACAGTGGGAAAAGTACGACGCGGTTCTCAACTCGTTGAATGTTCAGCATGTGCGGAGGTAGGCGATACGGGCATGTTTCCTTTGGTGGCATTTGCTAAGTTCAGGACAGCTTTAACCTTCCCGACGACGTCTTTGAAGCCAACGAAACGAAGCCTCAGAAGCCTCAGAAGAAGCGTGTCATCCCGAACGCGAATGGCGCGGCTCAGATCAAGAAGAGGAGTGCTTCAGAGGTACTGCACTGGTTTAGTTCACGGCTACGCTTGAGAGCTCATCACAAGACTAGCGAAGCTTTGGTAAGCGCATGGCTGACACGTTGTATAGGAAAACCAAGAACCACCCGCCAAGCGCCAGCAAGCTTCTGTCACGGCTGCCGGTTGAGTATGGACTTTGGACCAAAGCGTCCCACGCTATCGACCCTAATAAAGAGTCATGTCTTCCTGCAACCTCTGTCGGCATTGGTAGCATCTTTTGCCTCTGATCCACTGACCAATAGGCCAAATCACATCTTCGAGTTTGACGTCCTCCAACACGGACTGTCTCGTACCGTACCAACACTGCATAACACACCCAGAGAGAGAAAGCGAAATAGACATAAAAAAAAAAAAAAAGGAAGGGGGGAAGCGAACTGAAAGAGAGAGGAAATCCATCGACGACCCGGCATTACCCTGATGCCAGTGTATCCACACTTTACCTGCAAGACCCCCTTCCATAACCCAACTTTGGGTGGAGATCGCAAAAGCAAAAGCAGCAACATACTCGGTATGTCTTGTGGGCTTTGGTAGGTTGCTCGTTCTGGCCTGAGACGAGCGGAGACTACTAAAGAGCATCAGGAACATTACTGTCGCCCACGAGGATGCACTTTAGACAGGTACGCTTTGTAATGCAGGGCGGATTCATTTTCTCTATGCTTCTTCACGCAAACACGGGCAGGACCATTGATTCAAGGCGAAGCCAACTGTATACTAGATACCATCGATTTAGAGGATTGACTATGCTTTGTCCCCAATCTCTGCCCTTGCCTTGCTCTGATATCTTGTGACTTTGTGGGTGCCTAGGCGACTAGAGGCGTCCATGCGTCTCTGCCAAACCAACCTGTGAGTGCTGATGTGACCGAGGCGATGCAATGTGAGACTCAACATCTCAGGTGTCCACGATCCTTGAGCCGTTTCGCTTGACGTACTAATTGGTCGAGATTGATTATAGCTGATTCAGGCTACCTCAATCATCGTCATCATCGCTACCACTCGACCATCCTTCTCGATACGCCTCGGCGAAGTCGGCTAGCTCGTTGCTAATGTCTTCTCGGTCCTCCACGCCAAGAGAGGATGCGACGGTAGTGCGCAGGGCATTCAGCGCGGCAGACACTGAAGTATCTGTGGAAAGACTGGTCTTGATGCCAAAGGAATCGCTCAACGGCTTGCCGCTGCCGTCGAGGTAGATCTCGGGGAAACTATCGAGCATAGGGAAGCCCCTATCGGTGAGATACCTGCCATCATGAGTCAGTTGTCAAATTACGAACAACCCTTTGGGAGGATAGCGGTATTTGTCTTTTCTGGCATACCTTTGCGTGCTGGTCTCTATGAGCGCAGCCCTTGGCCGTTGCCGGCCATCGCCGCCCTCGTCCCCGCCGTGTTTTGAGACTTGCTGTGAGCCACGTGTAGTGATTGTCTGCCCGAAAAGATGAGGCTTGCCGCCTCCGCTACTCATATTCCTTCTTCCAGGAGTAGGCTTGTGTCGGAGGATGTCAAACAAGTCCGTGTCAAGCTTGGTTATCTCGCCAGCTTCGTCATCATCCGAACCTGACTCTCGTGCGCTGGTATCTTGTTTCGTTTCCGAGGCTAGGTCGACGACGCTCATTTGCAGACGGCTCATGGTCTGTCTGCCGCGTAGATTCAACCCACTCACCAGCTCGCCGAGCGTCGCCTGTAGACCACTTCCAGAGCTTGTTGAGTTGAGCCGGGAAGCGATCCCTGCTGTTTCCATGGCCGTACTCAGCAGGGCTGTGGTTTGCCAAGGAGATTGCATGTCGATGCTGATGTTTGAGCTCAACCGTGCTTGGGGGAGAGCCATGGGAACCAGCATCGATGCGTGCTCACACATGTCCTTGACTGTCCTTGCAGTGTTGGCGAGCTGGAGGCGTCTTTGGTCCTGGTGTTATCATTTAGCTAGGCTAAGGGGTGTACTAAGTGCGCAAACGAATTTTCAAACTTACGATGCGGGCAGCGGGTACAGGAGTCTGCAGACCCCATACCCAAATTGTAGTCTTGCCATACTCATCCCGCAGGCGCTCTACATACTCGGTCGCGAAACCTCCCCAGGCGTCGTCTATAGTTGTCACGATCTGGAGGCCCTGCATTTGATCGGCCTCCTCTACAAAGGGACGGAAGTCTCGATCGACAATGTCGTGTTCCTTGTCTAGAGAATCGAACAATTCCCTGCCCAGAGACCACTTGTCAAAGGGCCTGATGGAGGAGTTGATCTCATAGTCATAGAGCTGGTTGAGAGACTTTGGGTGGTAGTAGACGCGCGAAAAGTCGGACCAATACCGCACGTCGGAGGACTTGAGCTTTGGGGCAGGCGTGCCGAGGTCAAGACTTTTCTGATATGCGCTCGGCTCTACCGGTGTCTGTTTGTGTACTTGCGCAGATCCTTCCCTGGGGTCGGCGGGGGCATGTTAGGTGGCCGGTCTGGGATACTTGATAAAGGCCAACGGCTGGAGTCAAATAAAGATGGGCGCGTTACGGACCATAAGTGAGCAGGTGCCTCTTCCTGGCTTGCGTCGTACAAGGCGTTGATCTTGCGAAGTGAGCCGAAGCCGCCTTTCAGATCATAGACGACGGTACGCGGGAGGAAGGTCTCGGAGCCATCTAGGGCCACACCCGGACGCCAGTGAACGTCGTGGTTCACGGGGGATTCGTCCTGATCAGAGTAAGTGAAGTAGGATTCCTGGCAACAATGTCAGCCTGTGTTTAGAATAAGACGCATGGGATTCGCTGTCGATAGAGCTAAATGTCAAAATACCTGGGTGTTCCAGAAATGAGTTGCAGCATAGTTGCTCAACTGGCCTAGCTGGAGAGTGATGATTTCGTGCATACTGTCTTGTTTTAACCTGAATTACCAAGGTAAGTAGTCAAGACGGCTCCGCCGGGCTGCATCAATCATAGATGGTCCGGCAAGGTGAGCGGGGGGTTACTGCGGATGTGTCCCGAAACTGGTAGGGGACGGGACGGGACTTGGACTTTGCAATCTCAGTGCCAGGTCCATTTGGGCCGTTGAAGTGCGTCAAGTGAACCCGGTTGTGGGGTAGGTCTTGGGCGTGGGCCGGGCTTAGGGCGGCCGGCGACGGCATCCGCCGCCATCAGGGAACGGACGCTGATCTACCGTCCCATCTTCCATCTATGTACCAGTGCATGCACCCCGTCTTGCGGTACTCGCCTGCCCGATTGATATTGATCATTGCTTCCGGTAGAAAAGAGCTCTCCCTCCTACACAACTACCTAGCCATTCGCAGATGGCCTTGAGCAGGTATTTGTTTTATGATCGGCTTGTAAATGAACTAATGGTTTTCTCCCACCAAGGGCGAAACCATGTTGGTCCCCTATTGGAAACAAGGGAGCGTTAGCAGCAACTGAGCGGGAGCACCACCCGCAGGCATCTGGGAAAGTTGACCGGCTTGACTGGCACGCATCCAAGTTGTCTCACAGCACGGAGGATTTCAGATTCCAGCAAAAGGAGGAATACGAAAATGGGAGCAGACATTCTCTCTCCCCCTTGAGTGGGGGCCAATCGGGGCTCCCATTTCGAGGTCATACACAAGCCAGCAGGCGGTCGTGCACATCCCAGTGTGAGTCAACCTCGGCGAGCGAGATGCGCCGCTACACCAAGGCGAGGAATGAGGTGCCGAAATATCGTGTTGGACCAGCCAAGGCCCCTTCAGACATGTTATCAAGGGGTGCCTTGGGTAGAAGTAATTGGGCTGATTCCAACTCCCAATATCGAAAGGTGTTCAGGGCTTTCGGCACGGCAGGGCGGACGGGGTGTTGCGTAAGGTAGGGACTTGGACCTTTGGAGGGTACCGTACCTATCCATACCTTACCGTACCTAGGTAGGTAAGGTACTCTGTACGGAATACCTACCGGTATTTGGGTAAGTGGAGGTGATTACGTCAGGCGGAAGTGGCTCTAGGTAGCCGGTGGACGGGAAGGAATCCAATTACCTTGGGCTGCTGAAGGTGAGCAGTGAGGTACCTAGGGGTGGTATGTGAGGAACCTCAGAGCTGAAGGCGACAGTGGAGGGCTCAAAGAATATGCTCGAGAAGGTTCAGCACTTGAGCTCAGCCAGGTTCTCGGGGCGCCGCACTGTTCAGAAAAGTTCAGCCATACTGTACGCGTGAAGTGGTGACCAAACCAGCAGAATGGCCTGAAAACATGGACAATGGGAGGGCGGAGGGCGGGGCGGGGACTTGGGGAAGAGGTGCGCTGTGGGGCAAAGAGCACCGGCTGGTCAGCTACGTACTACGAAAAAATACCTTACCACCTTACCTACAGGCTACGAGACGGGTTGAGGCCGCGCCCCTCTCTGAGCGCCCCCTTCCATTCACTGAAGTCTGAGGTAAGGGTGAGGTGCTCTACTATCAAAGTACCCGCACAGTGCCGTGTTACCAATTAACGCCTCCCCCTTCTCTCGAAAAAGCGACGCGTTTACCAGAATTTCGCGACCGTCACCATTTCAAACCCTTGCACATCCAATACGGCTTTCACACAACTTCAGCTCCCACCACTCATCTCCTTCCTCTTCTTATACCTTCCAGTACGGAACACCTACCACTCTGCTGTCTTCGGTGGCGTCACTTACACGGCCATCACGACGTGAGAAAATCACGCCTCTACAAGCAAGCAAGCAACGTTCCTACCTCAGTTGCCTTGTTCTATCATACGTCCTGAGAGCGTGTCGCAAGCGCGGCTCAACACCACCGCCCGCCCACCTTTCCCAACCTCGCGACGCCCTTTACCTTACCATTTGTCCCTCCACAAAGGAGCGCCAAAATTCTTGCTACAGTCACCTTACCCCCGTCTCACATTGTCGCAGAAATTATATAGACACCATAACTCTTTGTGGCACTTGCCTGCCCCGGACTTTTAGATCCAGCCCAGCCAGCCCTTCAACCTTCACGACTTGACGAGACACGACTGTCCCATTCCTTCATTCCTTACACGTCTGAGACCAACTACTTCAATCAATCGTCCGCCATTGTTTATACCTTCCCGCGCTCCGCCCTCCGTCCTGTTCTGGCCCCTTTCGCACAGAGGTGCCGCATGCTCGAGGCTCCTCCACCATGCCTGCCTCAGCAAAGCGCTCCCAGCGCACTCGTCGCGACACTCGCCGCGATACCTCCCCCGCAAGATTAGAAGACAGCTCCCCAACTCGGCCAGCAAAGCGCCGAAAGAAGGTAACCGCATGCCGCTGCTCCCTAATGACAATCCGGCCCTCGCATCATCATCGATGACACTAACGCCGCTTCCATCAGGTTGATGATCCTCCGCCTACCGAACCCGCCGACGATGACGAATCCAACCTCACTGCCGATCAGTCGGCTCAACCCGTCAGCGACGATGATCAGCTGCTCGCGCAAGTAGTTCAGCACTTCCAAATTCCCAAGGAGGGAGCCCCCCAAGCCAGCAAGGACCATGCGAACTCGATACATGAAGCCAATGGCAGCGGTGTTCAGGCCTATGCCAAAATCGCCGCCCAGGACTGGACTTTCTACATCACAAAACTTATCGTCAATATTGGACGCCCGTCTGAGGGCGTCACTGAGGATGACGAAGACTTCATTCACATCGATCTCGGCCCGAGCAAGATGATCTCCCGTCAGCACGCCCGGATTTACTTCAGCTCCAAGGAAGAAATCTGGTTTCTCGAGGTCAAGGGAAGGAATGGCGTAAAAGTGAACAATGTCCCCATGAAGCAAAAGAGTTTGAGGCGCCTGGAGGGTGGTGAGGTTCTGGAGGCAGGTGGCACGGAAATGATCTTTGT